AATTTAAACCCTCTCCTTTCTCCTTTCTCCCTTTTTAGTTCGGTCCCTGCAGCTGTTTCTAATTTTCCACTTTCTGTCCAGCTGCTTTTAGGGAAGGGTGCTTTCCCCTTATTCTCCCCCACCATGTCCATCCTCTCTCTGCATGCAAAAGCAGTTCCCTGCCCTCCATGTTTTCTCTCTCCCCAAGTTCACCTCTCCATGCCACGTACCTGCTGAATTCTATGGTTCAGGTTGTGTAGATTGTTGTGTTAATCCTCAGATTAGGTTTCTAGGTGTGCAGGATGGTTTAGTGTTGGTCTGGCTGTATTTCATGGATGTGAGACACACAAAAACCTTCCATGCTGTTTTGCCATCTTGGCTCCTCCTCCCAGTTTTCTGAAGTTTAGTTTTGAGATGACATGGTGAGGATTTGTTTAGTATCCTGTTTACGTTCACTCAGCTTCTTGAATCTTCATGTTAGTTTCCTTCACCAAATTTAGAAAGTCCTCAGCCATCAGCCATCATTTCCTTGAATACTCTTTCAGGCTCACTCTCCTTTCTCTCTTTTTGATATGATGATAACACAGAAATTACATCTTTTGTTTAGTCCCACAAGTGTCTGAGGCCCTGTTAATTTTTTCCCCCTCAATCTCTTTTCTCTACATTGGTGAGATTGAGTGCCAAATTGATCTGTCTTCAGATTCACTGATTTCTATCCTTTATCATCCACTCTACCGTCAGGCACATGCAATGAGTTATATATACATTACTGTAGTTTTTGCTTATGTAATTTCTACTTTCTTTTCCAGTTTCTATTTTTTTGCTCAGATTTTTCTATTCATTTTTTTCAAGAAACTGACTTTGAAGCATTTTTATAATGGCTTCTTTGAAATCCTTGTCAGATAATCCTAGCATCTGATTCATCTCAGTGTTGGCATCAATTGATTTCCTTTCTCACCAAAGTTGTGATTGTCTTTGTTCTTGGTATAATGGGCAATTTTCAATAATGTTTTGAGCATTTTGTCTATTATGTTGGAATTTGAGTCCTATTTAAATCTTTTATTTTGAGCAGACAGCTATTGTTTAGATTTTAGCTTTATTCTGAGACTATGGCTTCTTAGATGTATAAAAGTTCAGGATTTTTATAGTTGTCTGGTGACTTCCTTCTTTTTTTCTTTGTACATAAAATTGCCTCCTGATTTTATCTGATTCTATCACAACAATTTGTCTCATAGACCCCTTGAATCTGTGTCTTTTTTTCCATCTTGAATATTATGTTCTATAGTATTTTATTTCACTTGTTGTTTAACCATTAGTATTTATTATGGATGCTATTACATCAAATACTCTATTTACCAGTTGTTTTTCTACATTTTATCTGGCCTTCTTCTCCCTCCCCTACTTCTTCCTTTTGGGTTTAACTTCTATCTTACTGAGCTCCTTTACTTAGCATCATGCCTCCTGTGCATGGAAGCTGACATGCATCCTCTGTCTCCATGCTAAATCTAGTTCCCAGGTCCTGTAGGGATCCAGGGCTTCAGTCCTCCTTATGTTTTGCCTTTATTTTCTCTTCCTTTCTGCCTTATGATATTTTCCCTGCCTTCATCTGAGCTTGGTTTTGTATTTAATTTATGGATTGTACAGTCATCATTTCCATGTACTTGTAACATGAGATGGGCTTTTTCTGTGACATCTTAATATATCACACTACCAGAAATCATCTGAGAGAGTCTGAACACCTACTTTTCCGGGTGAGGTGAAAGTCTTTTGTCTAAAGCTGGGGAGTCACTTCAGAGTAAGAAGTGGTTCTTCAGTCTCTTGTGTTAGAATTTCTTGAGGTCCAGTGGTAAATAAATTATCTCATTTAAGGTGGTACTAAGTAAGCATCAGGCATAAAACAAGAAGTTACTCTTGTCTGTTCGGTAGCAACATTTAACACCTAGCCTGCATGGTGTTACTACATGTATTTCTCACAAGATAATTTCATACATTCCATGTTCCGTTTTTATATGTTTTCTTCTAAGAAATAGTTCACAGTACAGGGACTAGTATCTACCTCCCTTATATAAAGTATGATGGAGATGGACTGTACATTCTAGTCCATAAGTTATAATATCACAACAGGATTGGGATAGAACTAAAAGAGTGGGTATTGCCTTACACTGGATTGCAGCCAAATGTAGCCCACTTGGCTGTTATTGGTACTATGGAATGGGCATCTAAGCAATAATAGCATCGTGCTTGAAATACAGGAGGAAGAGTGGATATTGATGTAAGTTGGTAAAAGGGGTACATGTAGTGCATACTTAAAAATATCTCTTTGATGTGAATTTAAATCTTCCCTCTGGGTATTTCCTGTCCAGATGTGTTAATATTTTCTCATCATAGAAATGAAAGTGTCTTAAACTTGCTTTCTTAGCTAATCTTCTAGCTCATGTTTGGAAGTGGTAGCAATGGGATCTTAAAGCAGTCTGTCCTGTGATTTTGGGGCAGTGTTTCTGGCTGAGCCTTGTTCTCTGGCCCTGAATGCTTGTTTGAGCTACATATTCCTTAATAAATTCTTCTGTGCTAAAAAAAATCTCACAGGGAGCCAGAACTTTCTCTATAGTTCAGACAACACTGAGTATGGGGGTGAGTTCAGTATCCTTGCCTCTGAAATATGTATCAATTTTTAGCTGGGAATTTTTTTCTTCCTCTTTTATTTTTTTAAATTTAAATCCAAGTTATTTAACATTTTATGTAGTAATGGTTTCAGAAGTAGAATTTAGTGATTCATCATTTACATTTAACCCCCAGTGCTCATCCTGATAACTGCCCTCCTTAATGCCTGTCACCCAGTTAGCTCATCCTCTCACCCCATACCCCTTCAGCAACCCTCAGTTATCTGTATTTTAGAGTCTGTTATGTTTGACCCCCTTTCTATTTTTATCTTATTTTTCCTTCCCTTTCCCTATGTTCATCTGTTTTGTTTCATAAATTCCACACATGAGTGAAATCATATGATACTTATCTTTCTCTGACTGACTTATTTCACATAAGCATACATAATACACTCTAGTTCCATTGACATTGTTGCAAATGGCAAGATTTTATTCTTTTTGATCACCGAGTAATATTCCTGTGTGTGTGTGTGTGTGTGTGTGTGTGTGTGTGTGTGTGTGTGGACATTTGGGCTCTTTTCACAATTTGGCTATTGGCAATAGTGCTGCTTTAAACATTGGGGTGCATGTGCCTCTTCGAATCAGCATTTTGTGTCCTTTGGATAAATACTTAATATTGCAATTGCTGGGCCATAAGGTAGTTCTACTTTCAAATTTTGGAGGAACCTCCATACTGTTTTCCAGAGTGGCTCCACCAGTTTGCATTCCCACCAACAGTGCAAAAGGGTTCTCCTTTCTCTGCATCCTTGCCAACATCTGTTGTTTCCTGAGTTATTCATTTTAGCCATTTTGACAAGTGTGAGGTGGTATCTCATTGTGGTTTTGATTTGTAGTTCCCTGGTGATGAGTGATGTTAAGCATCTTTTTAGGTCTCTGTTAGCCATCTGGATATCTTCTTTGGAAAAGTGTCTGTTGATGTCTTTTTCCCATTTCTTCACAGGATTATTTGTTTTTTGGGTGTTGAGTTTGACATGTTCTTTATAGATTTTGGATACTAACATTTTATCCGATATATCATTTGCAAATATCTCATCTTATTCTATCGGTTGCCTTTTAGTTTTGCTTATTGTTTCCTTCACTATGCAGAACCTTTTCATCTCAATAAAGTCCCAATAATTCATTTTTGCTTTTGTGTCCCTTACCTCCAGGGATATGTTTAGTAAGAAGTTACTGTGGCCAACGTCAAAGAGGTTGTTGACTGTTTTCTTCTCTAGCATTTTGATGGTTTCCTGTCTTACAATTAGGTCTTTCTTCCATTTTGAGTTTATTTTCGTGTATGGTGTAAGAAAGTGGTCCAGGTTCATTCTTTTGCATGTCGCTGTCTAGTTTTCCCAACACCATTTGCCTAAGAGACTGTCTTTTTTCCATTGGATATTCTTTCCTGCTTTGTCAAAGATTAGTTGGTCATACATTTTTGGGTCCATTTCTGTATTATTTATTCTCTTCTGTTGATCTATATCTATTTTTGTGTCAGTACCATATTGTCTTGATGATTACAACTTTGTAATAGAGCTTAAAGTATGGAATTGTGATGCCTTCAGCTTTGATTTTCTTTTTCAACATTACATTGGCTATTTGAAGTATTTTCTGGTTCCATACAAATTTTAGAATTGTTTGTTCTAGCTCTGTGAAGAATGCTCATGTTCCTTTGAAAAGGGGTTGCAGTGAATATGTAGACTGCATTGGGTAGTACTGACATTTTAACAACATTTGTTTTTCCAAATCAAAAGCATGGACTATTTTTCCATTTCTTTGTGTCTTCTTCAGTTTTTTTTCCCATAAGTGTTATGTAGTTTTCAGTGTACAGATATTTTGACTGGGTATTTTGAATAAGAGCTACTACGAGCTGGGTATATATAAAAATACTTAATTTTACAGTCATTCCTAAAAAACAATGAAATTGGGAATTATATTTGTCAAGCAATTTTAGCCAAGACAATTCCTCAGATAAATATGGAAACTTATCATATTTATTTTAGGTGTGCTACTGAAAAATAAAAATTGTTTCATTGACCTAAACTATGATTTTTTATGGTTTGCACACCAGTTAGTATTCTCTATTTGGCCAGCTATTTACCATACCAATGACTTTCTGGCAGGTTTTTCCATTTCTCATTTTCAAGTCTACTTAAAAATTGACAAAATGAAAATATATTACCCATGTACAAAATGCCTCTTGATATATGTGCATATATAATATGTGTCTAGATTACATGTATGTAATTACATGTATTACATGTATATCACATATAATACATATATTATACACACATATTTACAAACACACATCTATATCTGTATAGGTACCAAAAATAAGTGGAAAATAATAATAATGTCAATTGCATTCTATATTTTTTGTAGGCTATTATTTTGTTCTCAGTATAACTGTTCTGGATAACAATATGAAAAATGGCTGTATTACATTTAAGTTATTAAACCAGCTTGGAATGGTTGAAGAGTCAAGGGTCTATGAGTAAGTATAATTTAGTAATTTTTTTCTTTCGTAAATTAAATGTTTGTTTTCTTGAGCATCCACTTTGGAATATAATACAAATAGTGTAAATTTTTTTCTCCAGAGAGTCTTAAAATATTAAATATTAAAATATCTCAGGTGTTATATTCTAATTCATTCATTGTCTGCAGAAAGATGTGGAATATGAAGTCTACTACTTAACTTCTTTATGTCATACACACCTAGGGACTACAAACATTAGGAAAACTTTTTTTTTTCTCTTTTGATTGTCATTCCCGTGTTCTTCTTCTCAAACTACCTTGCCTTCTATTTCTCTCTAGTTTTCAGGCAACATTGTATTCACAGTGATATGACCAAATGTCAAGTAACTTCTGTCAGTAGAGCGACCCAATTTCAGTATTTCAGAGAAACACTTGCAGCTACAAATCCTACAAAATAGAAGAGGGTTTTTTTTTTTTGCTTAATCTTCTATTTAGCTTTTTGTGTATATATGTATGTTATATATACATATTTTAAAAGTTATCTAATCATCTCAAAGAATATTCTCAGCTTGAATTTGTTGAAGGTATACCTGTCTATTTCATAAGTTCCCAAACAAGGAAATTCATTTTCTGTTAAATAAAAGAAAGGTATGAAGATACATGCTACTATTAAAATTGTGGTTTCCTCAGGGTGCCTGGGTGGCTCAGTTGGATAAGCGTCCGACTTCAATTCAGGTCATGATCTCTCGGTTTTTGAGTTCGAGCTCTGCATCAGGCTCTGTGCTGACAGTTCAGAGCCTGGAGCCTGCTTCAGATTCTGTCTCCCTCTCTCTCTGCCCCACCCCCGGGCCCCCATCTCTCTCTATCGAAAATAAATAAACATTAAAAACATTTTTAAATAGTAGTTTCCAACCTGCTGTGCTAGACTTCTAGAAATCTATTAAATAATGTAACTTTTTGAAAGGCTCACAGGTAACATATCTAGTGATGAGATAAAAGAAACACTTTATTTTATTACACCTGGGCTTACAACAGTTTGGTTTAAGTTTAGACTGATTACTGATGACATCATTCGAATTTCAGGAAGCATAGTTGGTATATCCAACGTTTACTGTTGTCACAGTCTAGGTAGTTACAATACCTGAATTGACTAAATCTAGTGTGTGATGGGATTCAGACTTGAGTACATCATGACATCCAAATTCATGCAACCATTAAAGTGAACCAGGAAAAAGTCTCTGCATGCTTATATATTTGCACATTAGTGTCACAAATAACGGCAGTGATGTATGTAATTTTACAGTATTATTATGAACCTTTGTTTAAAGTCTAAAATAACAAAAATATACAAAGTAGCCATAGCTCATAATAAACGAAGTTTGTTTTGTAGATAAATCTTTAACACCTTAAAATCCACAAAGAAAATAATAGTAAAAGAAGTATATTATGATCAAATATTGAGAACCTGTGTACTGACATAACATAGAAACTATTTATAGTATCATGGGATACTAAGGCCACTCTTGGAAATAACATTCTGAGTCATAAGTCAGAGAAAATTTTTTTAACTTTGAGATAAATGTATTTTTAATATTAGAGCCTTACCAAATTAGTTTTCATAAAATTTTAAAAGGCTTTGCAGATAATTTAGTAGTTGGATAAAACTTGTCCTGAGTGAGCATCAATTATTTTTGTTTTTTCCCTTTTCTCAACTTCTTTCAGTCACCCAAAGATATTAAATAAATCAAACCGGGATTTCAATCTAAATTCTTCATTTACATCAAGGCCCATATTTTAATAAGAGAAACTTCAAATTCTTTCCACCTAATTCTCAGCACGATTGACTGGGTTATAATAGTTATTTTGTAATAGTTTATTGCTTTATGTTGCTTAAAATAGTGTATGCATGTGCCTATCTGTGCACACACATATGCATATGATCCTTTATTTATTTTTATGAAATATATGCTTTCTTAGCTTTTGAATCCACTTATTCAACAGTGTTATACAGCAACACTAAAATTTATTCAGGCGTTTCGCTAAATAATGGATACTCAAACTAAAATAGCACTGTTATGGTTCTTAAGGAAGTCACAGAACACTGAAGGAGACTGATGAGTAATTACAGCTTTAAGTAATAAGATCTACAGTAGCAGAATACTTATGTGCTGTGGGTGTATGAAGAGGATGCAAGGAAACATTTAAAGGAGAGATATTCCAATCAAGGAATGGAGACAGTGTTTTCAAAGGCATGGAGATAGGAGAGTATCTGAGTTCAGTAACAGCTCACAGACTACAGTCCTAGAGAAGTTGTTTCCAACTTGTTCAAAAGGCAAAGAAATTGTGATTCTTCATTTCCCTTATAAACATCATTGTGTATGCAGAACACCCTGAAATATTGATATATTTTATTCACGTCCTTGAATTAGTGCATTTTTCATGAAGGATGATATATTCATGACAAATCTGTCCATCTATTACTGGCCAAGGGCTTTATTGTTTTTCTGTTAATAATTCTTTGCTAATAACTTTAGTCATGCTTTGAGATTTAAACTGTTTCAGAAACCAGGGAAGTCAGAGATTTTTAAATGACCTTTTGTTTCCCTCTTCAAAATTAAAATAGGAAGATTTGCTTACTGTAGAAAATGTGTCATATTATACAGTAGAAAATGAGAATCATATATAATTATATCATCCAGGGATGTTCACATTTACTATGTGGTCTACAACTATGTCTCCTCTTCCTTTACCTCCTCTTTTTCCTCTCTTCATTCTGGTATATACCCTTGTGCACACACATTATTTTCTTCATTTAGCAAAATTAGGATCTTACCACAAATGTGTTCTGTATCCTGATTTTTATACTGAATGCTACAGTGCAATCATTTTTTGACGTCACTAAATATTACTCACACATTATAATATGCTAAATATAATGATATATAAATATAGGATTTTAAACAAGAGGTATCAGTTTTGGACATTCTGGTTGGAAGGATTCCCCCAGAGGATGAGTAATGGAGAGATTAGAGTGGCACGTGTCCAAAGAGGTGGAGGTGCCTATTATAATAATTTATGTGAGACATGATAGAGGTCTAGACTCAATACGTGGAGGTGTTTCTTCCTTTTTTTTTTTTTTTAGGATTTAAGATAGATATTTTTTATGATTAATTAAATATGTGAAAGTTAAGTAAAGAAACCAGTTTCAAGGTAACTAGTTAAATTATGATGCCATTTATTGAGCTAGGAAGTCATGGAGAGGAGCCAGTTTAATCATTCAGTATAATTTCTTGAAAGCTTCTATAGGCCAATGACTGTACTAGAAATTAGGGATACAATTCTGGACAAATTAGATTGCTGTCTTTACATAACTTCTGTCTAGTGCAGCAGATAGACTTTACACATACATAATACAAATAAAATGATGATGTTCATCGTTCCTCTATTCAAACAGAGGAATCTACATTGAGCTAGGAATTGTGCTAAGTGCTGAAGATACTGTGATGAGAAAGATAGACATGGTCCTACCCTCTTTAAGCTTGAAGCCCTAATGAAATATATAACAGTTATAAAAATTAAATAAAACTACATAAATAAAATCTGAAAAATGTCTTGAGGCAAATTATAGTGTGCATGGAAACATGAAATAAGGGACATGAATTAGTGAGGTCACTAAAAGTTTCTCTGAGGACATTTTAGTTGAGACCTAAATGAGGGACAAGATTGATTTTCTTTGCTATATTACAGGACAAAGTATCAACAAATGCACAGATCCTGAAGCAGGAGGGAACATAGCCCATTTCAGGATCTGAAGGAATTTTCTAATGTCTTAGAATGGAGGCAGGATCAGCAAGAGAGATATGAGAGAAGTAGAGAGCCCCTGGATTTTGTAAGAACTAGAACTTGTAGGGCATATTTTGGGATTTATATTTTACTCACTGAGCAAATGAAAATCACTAAAGGGTTTTAGTTGGAGCAGTTTGGTTGAAGCCGGGTTGGATTTTCATTTTGGAAAAACAATTTGACCACAATGTGTTGACAAGGAAAAAGACAGGATGCTGTTGCAAGAATATAGGAAAGGAACAGTGGTGTCTGAGTGCTTGCTGTGGAAATGTATGAATTCAAAGCATATTCAGGATATTTAGTAGGAATAATCAGTAGGAATTTATGATAGATTGGATGTAGGGATTGAAAGAGGGGGTGATATCAAGCGTGAATCCTAGTTGTCTAGCTTGGGTAATAGGTAGTGATGCCATTTAAAATAATAAGAAAATTTGTTAGTTGTAGGTTTTATTTTTATTTATTTTATTTATTTTTTTGTGAGAGATGGGCGTTGGGAAAGATGTCATTTAGATTTGAACCCTACTGAGTTTTAGACATTCTTAAGGTATGCAGGTACACATGGTGAAAAGCAATAGATCTCAGCAAACAGAGCTCAGATAGAGGCAGAGGTTTGGTGGTCACGAGCAAATAGTTGGTATTTGAAATCATTGAAGTGGATGTGAAATTGTAGGGAGAGATAGCACGTTCCCATCTGGACATACTGACTCTGAAGTATCTCTGAGAAATCTAGATAACGTCTTAGAAATTAGAGATATGAACAATGATATTATATTCCATGAAAGAGGAGGTAATATCAGTTCCTGGGGGTAATAGATATGGGCTTTGAGGAGAGTAATGACAACCTTTTTGGAGCCCAGCTGTTTTGAAGAATCAAAAGCAGGAAAGAGCAGGGATAAATATAAGATGGCACAAGAGCTGGAGACACCACTGGTTGCTCCTCAGCTGTTTTACGTATGATTGTTGCCTTTGCTCAAGCAAATCATTGTCACCTTGAAGGAGGAAATTACCACGACAGATTTTTTAATTTTTTTTTTTTTTGCTCTCTCCTCTTTTCTCTTTCCTTCCTTCCTCCTTTCCTCTTCCCCCTCCTCCACCTTCCTCCTACTCTCCCTCCCTTTCTTTCCTCCTTCTCTTACTTATCCTGCTCCTCCTCCTCCTTCTTCACCTTCTTTGGAGTTTCCTTTGTAGTCAAGCAGATCCATATTGATCTGACTCCAGGCCCCCCTATGTTTCTGGCACATAGGGGTGAGGAATTTGAGTAGAGTGATGAAGAAGAGCATTGACGTGGCTGTGTTTGTTTTGCTTTCACTAGCTTTGGAAAGTCATTTGTATGCTCTGATATTCAGTTTTCTCATCTGTAATCGGCAATACTAATAGTACCTAGTAAATGGAGTTGTCAAGATAGTTAGATAAGGTCAAGCATGTCAAGCTTCATTATAGTTATGGGTACTCTGTAAATGCTCAGGACATTGTACTTATTAAATTCTACATTAATTTTTTTCCTTTTGAATCTGAAGCTTTTGTAATAATTCACAAATATTTGACAAAATGGCACAGATCAATTAAGAATTATTATTTGAGTATCCTGTCCATTCAGGGAACTGTAATAGTTGTTACGGTGTCTAAAACAGGAAGCATAAAATGACTCCTGTAATCTTAGACAAATGTACAATCTAGACACAAAGTCAGAAAGACAAGATGCCCCACTTTTTTTCTCAAAAAGTGTCCCCAAATAATTTTGTATGAGGATACCTATATTATTATTTTATTTTGTTTTCATTTATTTTAATAAATACTTCACAAATATGTTTTGGCTTTTTTTCCTTTAAGATTGTTGTTTCTATACTACATTAAGATTATATTGACTTTAGAGTTAAATTTTAAATTACTAATATGGTAAGCATATTAAATTTTCTGTTTAGGAAGAACAGATCATTTTATCAACTTCAAGAAGTCAAGATTCTTGCTCAGTTTTCAAATGATGTTGTAAATATTTCAGGCATTGGTTTGGGATATTTTCAGAGCTCAAATTGGCAATGTTTCCAATGTAATTACAACATCCACCGTGTCATGGTACAATCACTTACCTATCCAGAAAGGTAAGAAAACTAAATTTTGATTTCAGTATATTATCTTTTAAACTTGAAAATATCAGTATGCTAAGAAATGGCTTAAGAATTCATGTGTTCAGATATATGTTTATTGTGTATTTCAGATTATATTTTACACAAATATTAGAATATCTAAAAGGTGCAAAATGCACTTTTTAAATGAAAATTAGTTTGAGTGAAGTTTAGTTCGGAGTCACATTACCTAGGCAAAGTAAAAAACACAATCATTTCATTAGACACGATAAAAATGAAAAATGTGAGACAAATATCTGCCTTATAAGTTGATCAATAATTTCTTACATATACATATATATTTATAGATTGGTTGAGATTCCTTTTGTACAATTCTTTAGATGGGGTTCAATGGCTGAAAACTCTATCACGAAGCATATCATCATAGAAGATAGAAGTCAACAGGACTTTCAATGATTTTTCTCTTTATTTTTATTTGGGAAGAGAAAAAAATCCATTTTTATCTATTATATATCAGAGTCTAGACATCATGGAGATTCAACCCTAGGAATATATTGACATCAGTGAAGCTCTAGCATATATACAATAACAGCAGAGGAAAGTCTGACTCCTATGCCTTGGTTTCTCTGTTACATCACAAATATCTCCATTACACAAAAATGTGATACTATCCTGACTTGATGGGGATATTTGAAGACGATAGACTGTAGCAGTATTTTTCTTTGCCCATTTAATATGCTTTTCTTAGTTCCATGTTCTCACAACTGAAGTGGTTTTCCTACTATCCTTGTGCCCATGATATTGATGTACATGTTCACCATGACAGAATTCATATTCCCACAGAAACACCTCTGTGAAAACATTAAGAATCACTAAGACCCCTTTAATGAGTTGACCATCTGTCAATTTGGATATGTGAGATTGAGTTGTTCCAACTGTGAGTGCCAACTGAGAGTCAATAGCAATGGGTCTGTGAATTGCTAGAAATCACTCTTCTTTAGTTGACTGTAGATCTTTCTTTTTATTTCTCTTTATTTTTCTGTATTTGTATATTTGATTCTCTAGTTACCTTTATATGAATGTTGAACAGAGTAAATAAGAAGTTTTGGAGAATAAAAATAATAAATGACAAGAACATGCATTTAGATGAGGTCTATATTAAACTGGAGGAAAACTGGATTGTTTGAAGTGTAAATTATTTTGTGACTTTTGGTATGAGAATATTTAGTCACTCAAAAGTCAATAATTAAGATGTCATTATAGTGGAAAAAATCTCAGGGTTATTCTACTTTTCTTTGCCTTTGATTGAAATACCTACCAAAAATACCAAAATATTTGAAATTTTCAGCTAGAAATATTACCAATATTATTCCCTGCCAGAGTATACCAAAGACAGAGAGAGAGAGAGAGAGAGAGAGAGACAGACAGACAGACAGACACACACACACACACATACACACACACACACATACACACACACACACACATATTAGGGGGTAATGTTTAAAGGACTAGTCTCAAGATTTGTAATCTTCAACTGATCTCTGTATTTATTATCTTAAACATGCAAATATTCTGGTAAACATAAGAATTCAGACTATACTTGTGTTTCCAAAAGTTAGGTTTTAAAGGGACCAAACTTGTTGCACCATCATAGCCTCCTAATTTCCCCCATTAATACTCCTCTGAGCTTAAGGAAGGTATGAACAGAGAAGTTTAGAGGTTGTAGTTTTATACCTTCTGTCTGGTACTTAAGTGTAAAGAATTCATATTGTCCCTGAATAAAGTCTTTTCCCTATATATCACAACTGGAAAAAGAAAAAGAATTTTCTCTTCAGTCTAGAAGCATATAATGTAAGCTTTGGCCAGACACCAGGTATTAGCTAGAACCTTTATACATAAAATAGCACAGAAGCTCAAGATGAGAAAGAGAAATTTAATTACATACACAAGGACAATAACAGGAACTAAGAATAATCCACTCTTTGTTTATATGGGCAAATGATAGGACTGGATACTGCTTTTATCATTTAAGCAAAAGTGAACAGGAAAATCACAAAAAACGATAACAACAACAGTGACAATGACAACAACAAAATGCTGCCTATTTCAGCATAAGCAACATAGAAAAAAAGATCTAACAATCAAGATTTAGAAATAAGGTTGACCCTTTAAAAGATTTATTATAGGAAATAGATGGAAATTATACAAATCATTGCTTGGTGTTCTTAATAATATTTAAGAAAACAGTAATTCATTAAAGAACAAGAGAAGAGCACTTGTTTGTGATTATGAAACAGCTGACTATGATGCAGAGTGAGCTCACAGTTAAACTAAAGACAGTATCAAGTTTAGTATCAACATTAAAAATAAAAAATAGAATTGATCACTAATGTAAAAAACTCATTTTATAATAATTGACAGAATAAGGTGATATACATAATATAAAAGATTGAGGAACAATTGTTGGGAAAAAATAATTGAAATGCAAAATGTAGCTATCTGGTGTTGTTGAAGAGGAGACACAACAGAAGAACTAAGTGCAGATGTGATACAAGAAAACTGTCTTCAGAAGAAGATACAGATCGCAAATTGATAGAGTAAACTAAGAACCAGAAACTAAAAGAGATCAATCTTTAGACTCGCTCTTATATATTTTATTTTTTAAAATTTGGTGATAAAGAGAGAATTCTGGGGGTGCCTGGGTGGCTTAGTCGGTTAAGTGTCCAACTTTGACTCAGTTCATGATCTCACAGTCCATGAGACCAAGCCCCACATCAGGCTCTGTGCTGACAACTCAGAGCCTGGAGCCTGCTTCAGATTCTGTGTCTCCCTGTATCTCTGCCCCTCCCCCAGTTATGCTCTGTCTCTGTCTCAAAAATAAACATAAAAAAAAAATTTAAAAGATAGAATTCTGTGGGGCACCTGGGTGGCTCAGTCTGTTAAGTGTATGCCTCTTGATTTCGGCTCAGGTCTTAATCTCATGGTTTGTGAGATTGAACCCCTTATCGGGCTCTGCACTGACAGCATGGAACCTGCTTAGGATACTCTCTCTCTCTCTCTCTCTCTCTCTCTCTCTCTCTCTCTCTCTCAAAATAAATACATAAATAAACTTTTTTAAAAAAGATAGAATTCTGCAAGTATTCAAAGAGATCTTCATAGAGTGGAAGATTAAATGTAGCAACTGACGTGTCCATCAAATGGATGAATGGATCACCATATGTATGTGTGCATATGCGTATGAATGTTATTCATCATAGAGGAAAGAAGAAAGAAGGACATGCTGCAGTTTGTGACAATATGCACAGACCTTGAGGACATTATATTAAGTGATATAAATCAGGGAAGCATAAATACTGTTTCACTTGTGTGTGGAATCTAAAAAAGCCCAACTCATAGAAATAGACACTTGAATGGTGGTTACCTGGGCCTAAGGGGCAGATAAAAAGGTAAGATATTGGTAAAAAAATACAAATTTCCAGTTATAAGATGAATAAGTTCTGGGGTTATAATGTATAATGTAGTGATTATAGTTAACAGTACTGTATCATATGCTTGAGAGTTGCTACAAGTAAATCTTAAGTTGTCTACAAAAAAAATGGTAATGGTGGTAATTGTTTTGTAATATATAAGTGTATCTAATCAACATGTTGTATACCTGGAACTTACGCAGTGTTATATGTCAGTTATATCTCAATAAAGGTGAAAAAATAATTAATTTAAAAAGATATCTTACAAATCAATAATAAAAGGATGAATATATTACGAGGATAAACGGACAAGGACACAAAAGAGAAAATGTACAAACTACAAAAATGATCTGAGCTTTTTATTTTATGTTTTATTTTTCTTTTGTTGTATAAACAATATGTAATGAAGATGTAAACAAATATACTTTCTAATAGCTGTGGACATTCTGCCAAGTGCTTCCCCCTTACCTGTTTCACCAAATGGCTTATTCATTAAAGACCTTATCCCTGCTGCTCAGAGTTCACATGAAGCAAAAGGCAAACTCTGTCACCACCCCCTCAGTTGTCTATTGTTTTTTTTTTTTATTATTGTTGCGTGGTAAGAGCTCTTAACATGAGATTTACATTCAACAAATTTTAAGTGCACAATACAATACTGTTTACTATAGGCACAATGTTGTATTGCAGATAATACAAACAAGCGAATTCCCTACTACAAAAGACAGAAAATCCAACTGCAAGTCCCTAAAGATAAAAGGGTCATGTAGCCAGACATATCTGAAAATCCCATGGAAGATATAGCTCCTGGTTTGGCTGCATTCAATAACAGTTCTGTGCTAGCTCTTGGCTTTACCATTCACATTGCTTCATACTCTGTCTGTATAATACCAATTTGGCTGCTACTTGATTCCAAGTTCTAATCCCATGAGGATGGGTGGAGAAAAGGTTTTAAGGTCTCCTTGCATCTCAGTGACTTTGGGCAAGTACATACTTTTGAACCTTACACTGTGGTCAAGGAAATAGATTCTTCTGATTGGCCAAGGAAATATGTCCTTTGGTTTATGCTTACTCTGAAACAAGATGGAATCAAATTCAATCAAAGTTTATATATTGAGAGTGGGATAAAGAATGATAAAGGTATGTGTCGAGTAAGAGATTGCTACGGCTGAGGTCAGAGAGGTCTTTTCCTGCTTTCTCCTCTAAGGTTTTGATGGTTTCCTGTCGATGAATGGATAAAGAAATTGTGGTTTATATACACAATGGAATACTATGTGGCAATGAGAAAAAATGAAATATGGCCTTTTGTAGCAACGTGGATGGAACTGGAGAGTGTGATGCTAAGTGAAATAAGCCATACAGAAGACAAATACCATATGGTTTCCTCTTATAACTGGATCCTACAAGGAAACTTAACAGAACCCATATAGGGGAGGAAGGAAAAAAAAGGAGGTTAGAGTGGGAGAAGGCAAAGCACTGAAACTGTTAAACTGAGAACAAACTGAGGGAGTTGATGGGGGGTGGGAGGGGGAGGAGAGGGTGGGTGAT